CATAAGACCTGCCCTCCAGCCCAGGCAGAATCCTGGTGTATCTCCTCTGCACCGTCTCTAAAGCTTCCACATCTTTCCCACAATGAGGTGACCAGACTGAACACAATATTCCAAGTGTGGTCTAACCAGAGTTTTATAGAGCTGCAGCATAACCTCTCTTGTTTGTATCTTGTTTACTTTGTCCTTAAAGAGGACCCATTCTCTCTTTCACACATTAATTTATACCCTTTGTTTTAATTCACCCTGGGACATGGATCTGACTGGTTGGGCCAACATTTATTAATCATCCCTAGCTGCACTCAAGAAGGAACGGTGATATATTTCCAAGTCAGAGTGCATGGCTTGGAGGGGAATTTGCAGGGGGTGGTGTTCCCATGTATCTGTTGCCCTTGTCCTTCTAGATGGAAGTGGTCATGGATGTGGAAGGTGCTGTCTGAGGACCATGTACAGTACTATGTATCCTATAAACACTGCAGCTACTGAATGTCAGTGATGGATGTGATGCCAATCAAGCGGGCTGCTTTATCCTGGATGGTGTCAAGCTACTTGAGTGTTTTTGGAGCTGCACCCATCCAGGCAAGTGGGGAGTATTCCATCACACAGAAAACCAAAAGAACTGTAGCTGTTGGAAATTAGGAACAGAAACAGGTCTGGCAGCACCTGCGGAGAGAAATCAGAGTTAACGTTTCGGGTCCAGTGACCTTTCTTCAAAACAGTAGGGTCACTGGACCCGACATGTTAACTCTGATTTCTCTCCAGACCTGCTGAGATTTTCTAGCCATTTCTGTTTTTGTATTCCGTCACATTCCTAACTTGTCCCTTTGTAAATGGTGGACAGGCTTTGGGGAGACAGGAGGTGAGTTACTTGATTCTTGATCCAAAAATCACTGGAGGATGCCAAGCCTCTGACCTAACTGTAGTAAATACGTGGCTAATCCAGTTGAATTTCTAGGCAATGGTAACTCTCAGGATGTTGTTAATGGGGGTTTCAGTGAGGGTTATACTATGGGATGTCAAGAGGTAATTTTTGCTCACCAATTCAATTGAGGCTCCCTGTATCTATTTACACAAAGATGAGCTACTTACAGAATTTGACATATCATACATAGAATCATACAAATCCCTACAATATGGAAGCAGGCCATTCAGCCCATTGAGTTTATGTGGGTCCTTTGAAAAATATCCCACACAGACTTACTCCCCAACTGCATCCCTGTAACCCTGCATTTCCCAAGGCTAATCTAACAGGCCTGCACACTATGGGACAATTTAGCACGGCCAATCCACCTACCCTGTACATCTTTGGACTGTGGGAGGAAACCGGAGGACCTGGAGGAAACCCACACAGAGACACGGAGAATGTGCAAACTCCACATGGATGGTCACCCAAGGGTGGGATCAAACCCGGGTCCCTGGCGCTGTGAGGCAGCAGTGCTAACCACCGTGCCGCCCCCTCATAACTACTTTGCTCGTGACAATGTCGTAGCTACCCAATGTTTGACATTATTTATTTTTAATTCATTTATATGGCTGGCTGCATTGCTCCCTTAAATTAATTCACAGATTGTGAGCAGCCTTCTTGCCCTTCCCTAATAGGCCTGAAGAAGGTGGCAATGAGATGTCTTCTTGAACCACTGCAGTCCTTTCGAGGTCTAGAGACACCTGCGGTGCTGTTAGGGAGGGAAGTCCAGGATTTTGACCCAATGGCAGTGAAGGAACGGCGATTATGTTTCCAAGTCAATGGCTTGGCAGGAGATGGTGCTCCTGGGCAGATGTCAGAACACCCAGAGCATCAGAGTCTGGACTTGTTTGCTGTGTAAACTAATTGCTGTGTTAAATCACAACAATTTTTATTGATATGACACCTTTAACATAAGAGATTTTATTATCAGGAAAAGAACTGACATCACATCAAAAAAATCAGCCACTAAAACAGATGACCAAATAATAATTTGCCCATAAGAATAATTTTATATAGCATCTGAGAGAAAAACAGAGTTAAGAGCTGCTTCTCTCTCTCTCTGTCTCTCTCTCTCTGTCTCTCTCTTTCTGTCTCTCTCTCTCTCTCTGTGTCTGTCTCTCAGTCCCATTTATCTTTCAATCTGAAGAAGTCACACTGGACTTGAAATATTAATTCAGTTTCTGTCTCCATGGATGCTACTGGACTTGCTGAGTTTCTCCAACGTTCTGTTTGTTTTAGATTTACAGAATCCACAGTATTTTGCGTTCATTGGCTCTTTTATTTTGGACTCCCATTTAATTTTTTTATAACATTTAAATAATGTTAAATTGGATATTCCAATTTCCATTGTGTGGGTGAGACTCTGGTTTATAAATAGGGATGGGCTTTGAGAGTATGGTGGGAGTGGGACTGGCTAAGGAGTTTCATCCTCAGGCCATCCCAAAAGGCTCCTTTCATTTACTGGGAGGTGTTACTTTTTTAACAGTTTTGGGACCCCTTTCTAAGGAAAGATATATTAGCATGGAGAAGGTTCATTAGGCTAATACCAGGTAAGGAAGAATTGACTGTTGAAGACAGGTTGAGGAAATTTGACCTGCTTTCTTTGAAATCTAGAAGAAAGGGAGGTAGCCTTATTGAAACATACATGTCCTTCATCCCTGGCATCATTCTTGTAAAGCTCCTCTGGACGTGCTCCGATGCCAGCAGATCCTTCCTTAGATTCGGGATCCGAAACTGCTGTCAATATTCTAAATGCGGTCTGGCCAGAGCCTAGTGCACCCTCAGCAGTACGTCCCTGCTGTAGTATCCTAGCCCTCTTGAAATTAATGCTTTGAGGAGTTGGGAGGTGAGTTACTTGCTGCAGGATGCGATGCCTCTGACCTGCTCTTGCAGCCATAGTAATTTAATGGCTAATCCAGTCAAGTTTCTGGTCAATGATAAATCCCAGGATGTTGTTAGTGGGGGTTTCAGTGATGGTTATGCCATTAGATGTCAAGAATTTTGCTTGCCAGTTAATTTTGGGCTCCCTGTATCCATTTACAGAAAGATGAGCTACTCAGAATCTAAAATATCATAACTACTTCACTCATGGCAGTATTGCATTACCCTATGTTTGACATTATTTACTTCAAATTCATTTATATGGCTGGCTTATGGATAACATTCATTTGCCTTCCAGACTGCCACTACAGCTACATGTCAATCTTAAGAGAATCCTGAACTAGGACTCTCAAGTCCCTTTGTGCTTGAGATTTCCAAAGCCTTTCTTCATGTGGAAAATAGTCTAAGCCTCTATTCTTCCTACCAAAGTGTGTAACCTCACACTTTCCCATATTGTATTCCATCTGCCACTTCTTTGCCCACTGTTTTTAGCCTATACAAGTCCTTCTGCAACCTTTATTTTTGTATTCATGGGATGAGGATGTTGCTGGTTGGGCCAGCATTTATTGCCCATCCCTAGATCCTTTTGTGAATCACCTGCTGTGGGTTAATCCACAATGCCATTAGGGAAGGAATTCCAGGATTTTGATCCACTTTTAACCCTGTTACGTTAACAATTCTCATACCATTACATCTGATTCGAGCTTCTCCCTCTCAAATTATCATATTGTGGTCACTGGCCTTATGGGTTCCTTCACCTTTAAGCTTCCTAACTAAGTCTGCCTCGTTACACATCAACAAATCCAGAACTGCCTATTCACTAGGGGGCTCTACCACAAGCTGCTCCAAAAACAATCTCAGACATTCCACAAATTCCTTTTCTTAAGATTTGCTGCCAACCTTATTTTCCCAGTCCACCTGCATATTGAAGCTCCCCATGATTATTGTATTAGTGCCTTTCTTACCTCCCTTTTCTATCTCCTGATTTATTTTCTTCCCCACACCCTGACTACTGCTAGGAAGTCATTACACAGCTCCCATCAGTCTTTTGTTTCCTTTGTGGTTTCTCAACTCTCTACCCACACAGATTCTACACCTTCCGCCTCTGTATCACTTCTTGCAATCGACTTAATTTAACTTCCTACTAACAAGGCAACGCACCCCCTCTGCCTGTTCTTGCGATACAGTGCACATCCATAGAATCCCTACGGTGTGGAAACAGGCCCTTTGGCCCAACAAGTCCACATTGACCCTCCGAGCAACTGACCATGCCCTTCCCCCTATAACCCACCTAATCTACACATCCCTGAACACTATGGGCAATTTAGCATGGCCAATCCACCTAACCTGCACATCTTTAGACTGTGGGAGGAAACTGGAGCACCCGGAGGAAACCCACGCAGACACGTGGGGAGAATGTGCAAACTCCACACAGACAGTCGCCCGAGGGTGGAATCGAACCCGGGTCCCCGGTGCTGTGAGGCAGCAGTGCTAACCACTGAGTGAAACTGGTCACCTGTCTCCCTCTCTGAAAAATCAATTTCATAAAATCTTCTCCCTAATGTTCATGAACTGAAATTCAGGTGCTGGGCTCATGTGTCACGTATTTGTATAGAACAGTATCTTTGGATATTTAGTTCCCAGCCTTGATCCCCTTGCAGCCACGTCTCTGAGATACCCACAACATTGTATCCGCCAATTTCAATCTGTGCTACAAGTTCATTTACCTTGTTTTGTACACAGTGTGCATTAACACTCCCAGTCCTGTGTTGACTGACCCCCTTCTCATAGTTGTCCCCTTATTTGCTGTGCCTGAAGTTGGATCCCTAACCATTTCCATATTCTTTGCCCTGTTGCTTTAATAACTTTAATAACTATCTGCTGAACCCTTCCCATGTTAAACTTCTTCCATAATTTTCCATGAAACTGAATCCAATATCCCACCAATATTTAGTTTAAAGCCCAATTGCAGCCCTGGTCACGCGATTTGCCAGGACTGTGGTCCCAGCATCATTCAGGTGGAACCTGTCCCATTGGGAATAGCCTCATTTTGTTTCTACGTCTTATGGTCTAAGGTGCCATTTAAATGTTAAGTCCTTGCTTTACCTTCTCTTCTTTAATTTGCCCTTTTTTTTCTTTTGTTTCCTTCTGTTGACAGGTGCAGAATGCGAAAACGTTACAGATTACTTGAAAAATTTGGCCTGGTGTGCATAGGAACACTGGGCTTAATGTACATTTTCGGTCACAACAGCCCGCCAGAACCAATTGATATTGTGCCCCAGGAAGCCATCCAACCGTTGGGCTCGCACAGCCTTGATGCTGTCCAAACAGAGAAGCCAAAGCCAAAGCCAAAGCCTGCTCCCACGTGCAGAGAAAATATGAGTGTTTCAAGTTTGCCAACGTTTGCGGGTCAGCCGCAGAATGTGAAGGACTTCCTGAGGTACAAGCACTGCAGAGATTTCAATCTCCTGCAGAACGTGCCAGACAAGTGTGGAAGGCCAGAGAATTCTCACAATGTCTTCTTGCTGCTGGTGATCAAATCTGACCCCTTCAATCACGACCGGCGCGACATGGTGAGGAGGACGTGGGGGAAGGAGCGGAAATTCCAGGGTGTCCAAATCAAGCGGGTCTTCATCACCGCCATGTCTCCGAACCAGCATGAGCAGAAGAAACTGAACCGGGTGCTGGAGCTGGAGAACCGGCAACATCGGGACATCCTGCAGTGGGATTTCCTGGACACCTTCTTCAACCTGACCCTCAAGCAGTACAAACTGCTTCAGTGGCTGGACATCTATTGTCCCAAGGCCCAGTTCATCTTCAACGGAGATGATGATGTCTTCGCCAACAGCGACAACATGGTGGAGTACCTGCAGGGCGTGGAGGCCGGTCAGAAGGGAGGCCTGCATCTCTACGTGGGGCACCTCATCGCTGGTGTGGGCCCCATCCGGGAGAAGTGGAGCAAATACTACATCCCTGAGTTGGTGACCACCTCCCAGTCCTACCCACCTTACGCAGGCGGCGGGGGCATCCTCATGTCACGGTACACGGCCAGCGTCATTTACACTGTGGCCCGCGGGATCGAAGTCTTCCCCATCGATGACGTGTTCTTCGGCATGTGCCTGGAGAGAGCGGGCCTGGCCCCCAAATCGCACATGGGTTTCCGAACGGCTGGTGTGTGGGTACCGTCTCCCCAGGATGACACGTTTAACCCGTGCTACTACCGGGAGCTCCTATTGGTGCACCGCTTCCGGCCGTATGAGCTGCTGTTGATGTGGGAGGCAGTGCACAACAGCAGCCTGCGTTGTGCCCGATCACCTCCAGAAGGTGGTGTTGCAACAGACATAGGGCACCACGATTCATGAATCACCAAACCTTGGTATTGTGGGTGGCACACTGGGACTCGTGCATACTTATTGAAGGAAATCCTTACAAATAGACTTCAGCATCTACCATATCACCATTCAGCAACATCTCCCCTCCCCCCACCCCCAACCAAATGGGGAATATCTTGCTTGGCAGTTATCCAGGCCATTCTCCCTCTGAAACTACAGCCTGCCCTCCAGCTGCTGAGTGTCAAGGGTGTCAACGACATGGAGCATTGTAGCTCAGTCCAATGCACGCCTTGTCTGGTGTCCCAGTGAAGCTTACTGCAAAATGGTCAAGATTTATCCAATCTCCCATCCTCGGAAGCCCTGTTGTGTTGATACACATACTCATACTGATGGACACTGAGCGACACACAGTGAAACACGAGGGTGTGTTTTTGAGCGAAGCTTTTTGTGCCTAGGGAATATTTCCAATCATTTTAACCTCTGTTGCCCTCCCCACAATCCCGTATCTTTACCTCACCCAAAGCTCGGAGTGATTAATAATATTCCAACAGTGAATGCTGAAGATTGAGAGTTCATTGGGTCATCCCATCTAGAAGCAATTTCTGAAGTTGTCTTTGGGTCAGGGTGAAAAAGTTCCAAGTTGTTCATGAGCCATTTAGATGCTGCAGTGTGTTTGGTGAGCTGGGGTCAGTGAGTGGAATGGATGTGCTCAATGCCATTCCTCATGCCTTTAATTCTAACTTGATACCATGGTCTCCATCCAATCATTAGCTCAAACTGAATTGTCTTCCTCTTCCTGGTTTCCTTTTGATCAAGGGGGTGGGTTAATTTCACAGATCTTATTTTGATAAGTTTTGCATCTCCATGATGCAAATTAGACTGATACTGATTTGTTTAAATGCAGCAAGAAGAAAAATGCAACTTTGGTGTTGTTTGTTTATACTATTTGTGAGTTTGGTAGAAATATCAAAAAGCTATTTCCTTATTTTATTATTTTAAGAAGAAAGCTTGGATTTATTAAGAGCAAGCAGACTGTGAATGATCGCCACCAGACTAGACAGAGGGAGAAGGCACCCTCTTGTCGTGATGTCAGTGCAAACAGGAATGTGAAAGCAATTGTTGCATCACTTAGATCAGACAGTAACTACATGTTCAAAAATGCTTTGGTTCTAAAGTCCCCAAAATATGTAAAAAGCCTTGAATAAATACAAACTGTCTTTCTACTAAAATTTGAACACAATCCTCCAATTTGCATCATGTTGTTATCTTTTGTGTCCTGTGATTTTTTTTTTTAAGACATAAAACTGACTATTACACATCAGTGCCGAAGGTTGTAATGTTCGTGGTTTCATGGTAAAATGGACAAAGTCTCATGTCTGATCCCAGAATACTTACAAATCCCAGCCTGTTGAGCAATAATAAAGGAGGAGGATTTAATTTAGTCACACAAAATGAATGGCTTGGGTAGCACAGAGGAACATTGAAATGGTTCTACCATCCTGAAGCAGGCCATTCAGCCCATTGTGTCGATGGCTGTCTGCAAGATCGGCTCAATGATCAGTTCCAGACTTTTATTCATTCACAGGATGTGGGTGTTGCTGGCGAGGCCAGCATTTGTTGCCCATCTGTAATTATCCAGAGCACAGTTAAGAGTCGGCCAAATTGCTGCATGTCTGGAGTGCCATGCAGGCTGGACCAGGTAAGGGTGGCAGATTTTCTTCTCTAAAAAACAGTGTCGGTAAAGCCCATCCCATTCTCGAATTGGGATCTCTGTGTTCTTGCGCATGAACCAAAAAATGTTAGCATGTAGGTGTAGCAATTAATCCAGAAGGCAAATGGAAGTGTAGTTTTGTATTTGTGGCTGGAAAAACAGGCAAGAGTTGTATAGGGTGTTGGTGAGGCTGCATTTGGAGTACAGTGAACATTTTTGGTCCCTATATTTTAAAAAAAGTCATTCAGTGACATTGGAGGCAGTTAAAAGAGATTCACTAGGTTGATCCCTGAAGAGGTTGACAGCTCCAGGATAGCTAGACAGATTAGACTTTAATTCATCAGAGCTTAGAAGAAGGTGGGGTGAGTTTATTGAAACATACACAATTCTGTGGGGGCTTGACAGGGTAGATATTAAGAAGATGTTTCCATCAGTGGGGGAGTCTTGAACTCAGGGACATAGTTACAGAAGAAAGGGGACATTCATTTAAACCCAGAGTTGCAAAGGAATTTCATCTCCCAGAGTGCAGCAAATGTCAGAAATTCTCTACCCCAGAGGGTTGTAGCTGGAACACTGAAAGAATTTAAAGAGAAGATAGATAGATTTTTGAAATATTAGGGAGATGAGCGCTATGGGGAGCTGGCATGAAAGAGAATTTGAGCTCTGAGGCTGATCACAATCTTATACAGCCATAGTCATACAGCACGGAAACAGACCCTTTGGTCCTGACCAGACATCCCCATCTGACCTAGTCCCATTTGCCAATGTTCTGCCCATATCCTCTAAATCCTTCCTATTCAGATGTTTTAAATGTTGTAATTGTACCAGCCTCCACTTCCTCTGGCAGCTCATTCCATACATGCACCACCCTCTGTGTGCAAAAGTTACCCTTCAGGTCCCTTTTCAATCTTTCCCCTCTCACCTTAAATCTATGCCCTCTAGTTTCAGATTCTGAAAAGCACCTTGGCTGTTCACTTGTCCGTGACCCTCATGATTTTATAAACCTCTATAAGGCCACCCCGTCAGCCTTCGACATTCAAGGGGAAAAATGCCCCAGCCTATTCGGGGTCTCCCTATAGCTCAAACCCTCCAACCCTGGCAACATTCTTGTAAATCTTTTCAGAGCCCTTTCAAGTTTAACAACATCTTTCCTATAGAAGGGTGACCAGAGTTGTAAGAATCGTTAGGCTTTGGAATCTGAGGTGGAGATGACCAAGATCACTGAATGCCCCTCATGAGTCTGATTGTAGAGATAGGGAGCATGGAAACAGACCCTTCAGCCCATGTTGCCCATGTTCCCAAACTAAACTAGTCCCACCTACCTGCATTTGGCCCATATCCCTCCAAATCTTTCCTATTCATGTACTTATCCAAATATCTTGTAAATGTTGTAACTGTACCTGCATCCACCACTTCCTCTGGCAGCTCATTTCAGACATGAAGCATGTTGTGTAAAAAGGTTGCCCCTCATGTCCTTTTTAAAACTTTCTCCTCTCGCCTTTAAAATATGCCCCCTGGTTTTGAACTCCCCCACCCTAGGGAAAAGATCCCTGTCATTCACCTTTTTGATACCTGTCATGATCTTATAAACCTCATTAAGGTCACCCCTCAACCTCCTACACTCCGGTGAAAAAAAGTCCCAGCCTATCCAGTCTACTTTTATATCGCAAACACTCCATTTGCAGCAACATCCTGGTAAATCTTTTCTGAAACCTCTCCAGTTTTATAATATCCTTCCTAAAACAGGAGACCAGACTTTACACAGTACTCCAGAAGCGGCCTCTCCAATGTCCTGTACGACCTTAATATGACGTCCCAACTCCTATACTCAAGGGTCTGAGCAATGAAGGCATGCGTGCTAAACACCTTCTTAACCAGCCTGTCTACCTGAAACACAAACTTCATGAATTATGCACCTGAACACCTAGGTCTCTCTGTTTGACAATGCTACCCAGGGCCCTACCATTAATTGTGTTATTCCTGGGCGTTGTTTGTTTTACGAGAATGCAATGCCTCTTATTTTTCCAAATTAAACCCCATCTGCCACTTCTCAGCCTGTTGACCCAATGTGATTTCTTTGTAATCTTAGGTAACCTTCTTGACTGTTCACTATACCATTCTCAACATTCACAAAATCCACCCAGGGAATGGAAAATTCAGTCCACTTCTGCCTGGTACATGCTGCAGAGCCGAGGAAGATATTGCAACAGGTTTGTTTGAGGAAACACAAACACAGATCACTGCCTCATCTGCAGCATCAGATTACGGCGATAAATCATTTGACATTTGCTCTCCTGACTTGATTACAGCTCATGTTTTGTCTCTTGTCCCCATGCACTGCTCTGTGTCAAGTGGTCATTGGCCGTTATGGGTTGATGCAAGAACAGCAATTGCTGATTCATGCGGTCTCCGACTGATGTGCCCTCTCAGTATTGATCCCATTCGAAGATGCTGAGGTTTGAATCTGTGGTTGTTGTTATCTCTCAGTGAAAGGAACTGAGGGGAGGGTGGGTTTGCTAAGGGTTTGTGAGCTAGGAGCCCTGACAGACACTTGCACCTGGGGCTATCAGATTAATCTAGACAACACAACTATTGCTCTGCCAGACCAACACATTCCCAGGAGGGAATCCAAGATACTCCCTCGGCCTGTGCCCTTCTTAAATACTTTCTGTAGCGACTCAGCAAGAGCCCCATCAGGGCAGTAAGGGATGGCTATTAAATGCAACCTTTCCCACAAAACTGAAAGATAAAGAAAAGCTATACCACCAATTTTAGTGTCATCTGCAAACTTACTAACCATCATGCCTCCTATATTAGCATCCAAATCATTTATATAAATGACAAACAAAAGTGGACTCCATACTGATCAACGTGGAACACCACTGGTCACAGGCCTCCAGTCTGAAAAAACAACCCTCCTCCACCACTCTCTGTCTCCTACTGTCAAGCCAGTTTAGTATGCAATTGGCAAGCTCACCCTGAATCCCATGTGATCTAACTTGATTAATTAGTCTATCATTGTCAAAAACTTGACTAAAATCCAAGTAAAAATATCTATGGCTCTGCCCACTTCAATCCTTTTGGTTACTTCATTAACACACCCAATCAAGTTTGAGAGACATGGGTTTTCCTCAGACAAAACCATGCTGACTATCCCTAATCAATCCTTGTCTCTCCAAATGCGTGTAAATCCTATCTTTCAGAATCACCTCTAACAATTTACCCACAGTCAATGTCAGACTCTCAGATCTATAGTTTCTAAGGTTCTCCTAACAGCATTTCGTAAACAATGGCACAACATTAACTACCTTCTGGTACCTCACCCGTGTTTATAGATGATACAAATGTTTCTGGTAAGAGCCTGCAATTTCCTCCCTAACTTCCCACAATGTCCTGGGATACACATGAACAGGTCCTGGAGATTTATCCACCTTTATGTTTTCTAAGACCTCCAGTATGTCCTCTTCTGTGAACTGTTTTCAAAACATCAACATTTCTTTCCCTGAATTCTCCAGCCTCCGTTTCTTTCTCAACAGTGAAAACTGTGTGAAATATTCATTTAATATCTCTCTCATTTCCTGAGCTTGAACGTAAATGATCTTTAAGGAGTCTTATTCTCTCTCTAGTTGCTCTCCTGCTCTTAATGTATTTGTAGAATCTTTTCAGATTATCTTTAATCTTATCTGCCAAAGCTATCTCATATCCCCTCTTTGCCTTCCTGATTTCCCTCTTAAGAATGCCCCTACACTCTTTATACACTTGAAGAGATTCAACTAAATCCGGTTGTCTATGTCTAATATATGTTCTTTTTATTTTTGACTAGAACCTCAAAATCTTTATTCATTCATTGTTCCCTAACCTTACCACCCTTACCTTTCAATCTAACAGGAACATAATATCCCAAATTCTCGTTATCACGCTTTTAAATGCTTCCCACTTGTCAGTCATTCCTTTACCTGCGAACAGTCTACTCCAATCAACTTTTGAAAGTTCTTGTCTCATACCATTAAAACTTGCCTTACTCCAATTAAGAACTTTAACTTTAATGGAAGACTTATTATTTTCCATAAATATTTAAAAACTAATAGTATTATGATCACTAGTCCCAAAATGTTTCCCCACTAACCCTTCAGTCACTTGCCCTGCCTTATTTCTCAAGAGAAGGTCAAGTTTTGCTCCTTCTCTAGTAGGAACATTTACATTTTGATAAAGAAAATTTTCCGGAACACATTTAACAAGTTTTTTTCATCATCCAAATCTTTAATGCTATGGCAGTCCCAGCCAATATTTGGCAAATTAAAATCCCCTACTATTACAACCCTATTGTACTTAGATATATCTGAGGTCTCTCTACGTATTTGATTCTCAATTTTCCTCTGACTATTGAGAGGCCTATAGTATAATCCCATCAGGGTGATCATCCCCTTCTTATTTCTAGTTTCAACCCATATATTTTCACTAAATGATTCCTCAGAAATACCTTCCCTAATTACAGTAGTAATAATTTCCTTAATCAAAAACACCATTCC